TCAGCATTTTCCATTTCATTCAAACATTCAGCAATGACGTCTTTTTCCATATCATCTACAACAAAATTGGGATCTTTGACACTAATCATCACTGTCGTAATCCGTGTCTTCATCTGTTTCAACCGAATTTATGAGCTGTTCTATTTGCTATTATATGCACTACATTCTTTGTCAGTATCAGGAAAAAAAAATGATACTGACAAAGAATGTAGTACGTAGACTCTTTTTAAGTAATTTTAAACTGTTTATCCTTGTTTTAGTGTAGTGTTTTGTACAATTATATGTTCTCATACATGTTTATCATATTCTACGCTTGCTGGATAGCTCATATTTGACGAAATGCCCCTGAAGATACTATTTTAAGCAAAAGTACTTGAACAAGCTTTAATTAAACTTGTGCTCGATAATAGCCTTATTTTTCAAAGTTCATTTATTTGAGAATTCCACCTCATATCAATTAAATAAAAAATATATGCTCTTAGCTCTAAGATTCTGCTTGATCGTATTCATGAGGTGAAAGAGGAAATGGGCATTAAAATAACCTCAAACAAAACCAAATTTTTAGTGTTTAGTCGTGACCCAAATCACGATGTAAAGCTAAAATTAAACGGAGTCCAAGTTGAGAAAGTTCACAAAATGACATATTTGGGAACTGTGGTAATGGATCAAGTAGATCCAGACATAGAAATAAAACGTAGAATAGCAATGACTAAAACTACTTTTATGAAAATAACGCCATTTCTTTGCAATAATCATCTCAGCTTAGAACTAAGACAAATAATGGTTAGGTGCTATTTTTAGTCCATACTTTTGTATAGTGCAGAAGAGTGGACGTTAAGAGTATCGATCATGAACAAGATTAAAGCAATGTAAATGTGAGTTGTATTAACAACAAATGGTTGACAGAGTGGTAGAAGTCAGTGAAGAAAACGGACTGTCCCTAAACACAAAAAAGACACAATTTATGGTAATTACAAAAGCCCAACAGTGCCAAGAAAACATAACAATACATAAATAACAAATTAAAAAAGTTGAAAAATATAAATATCTGGGTACAATAAATATTGAAAATAATTAGTACACAGAAGAGATTAAGGCAAGAATAGGACAGGCAAGAAATTCTTTCAACAAACTGAAAAATGTACTCTGCAGCAGGGACATTTCAATTTCTTTAAAGATAAGACTTCTTAGATGCTACGTGTTCTCCGTATTATTTTATGGCTTGGAAGTTTGGACTTTAAAGGAAGTTTTTTACAGAAGGATATTAAGAATAAGTTGGGTGGATAGAGTCACGAATGTCGAGGTGTTGAGAAGAATGGGTAAAGATAAGGAGGTCTTAAATACAGTTAAAGTCAGAAAACTGCCAATATCTGGGACATGTTATGAGAGGCGAGCGTTATAACTTTTTTTTTTTTTGGATTGAGGTGGAAAGGTTCAAAAACCGACTAGGGAAGGTGTCCCTAGTCGGTTTTTGAACCTGAAAAGTCCAGAGTATGGAATATATGTCCCGCATGCCCCCCTGACTAGTCGCCTACCAACTAAAACCACCCCCTCTTCGACGCGTGATATCCCCGGACGAGTTCATTAGAGAACGAAACATGGGGATATCCTGCGCTGCCTGAAAGATAGTTCTTAGATAATTGTCTTAGGTTATCCTATGCTGCTTGCCTAGGAGCGGCAAGCATATAGGGTAAGGTCTGGTTCCTGATTCGGAACAATAGTTCAAGGACTAGTAATTATTGCGAAGGGCAGTATACGTCCTTTGAAGCTCATGATTGACTATGAGACTATGAGATATGAAAGGAGCCTGTATGTGTATGAAACAATTGGATAGAGAAGAAGAGGAGTGTGGTTCTTAAAGAGTTCAGAGTACTTCTAAAATCCTGATCAAGGTTTATTCGGAATATTAGAGAATAACTAAGGATATAAGTACATTTGGGCTTGTATTTATTACCTATGTTACGTCTGCTATGCTGATTCGACGGTATCCACGTACGTATCGCGTATGACTTAGAAGGGACAAAGAAGTTCTAGGTGGTCCCTTATATGGTGCGAGAGGAGACCCTTCTCACCCATCTTGTTCGGCTCTTTCCAGGATGGTCTTTCGTTTCATAATTTGCGTAATCTGGTCTATTATAAATTCAAAGTTTTGTTTACTAAGCAACGCTATATGTATAATGTTATTGGGCCTTATATCCCCTAACCTATTCCGCAGCCTATTTTGTTCTTGGGCGAAAACATTGCACCGAAAGATGCAATGTTCCGCGTCGTCTCTCTCATGACATGTAGAGCACATATCATCGTTGGTTTTCTTTATTTTAAATGTGTACGACTTGAAGGACCCATGTCCTGTCAAAAACTGTGTAAAATAGTAATTTACCCGCTTGAATTTACAGTTGTACAACCACATCTGGGATTAACGTTTTTGTCCATTGAGCTTTCGTAGTCTGTGCCTCCCATTCCGTTTGCCATTCTGTTAATATCTGCTCTCGTATGGTCGCCCTTACCAGAGGTAAGTGACCATTCCGGTTTTCGTACAGCATCTGCCGTTCCCTGGCTAAGAGATGGATGGGGAGCGTACCTGCTATGGTCTGTAGGGCAATAGTAGAAGTGGTTCTGTACGCACTTATGACTTTGAGTAGGGGTTTGCGTTGTGCTCTTGTTATCATATCTTTATATTTTTGATATCTTAGTACATCTATCCAGACGGGGGTTCCGTATAGGAGGGTCGATTGTACAATATGTAGATATAGTCTTCTCTTGGTGCTGCTTGGACCTCCTATATTAGGTGTTATTCTCTGGATGGCTGCTGTTTGTTTGTCCGTCTTCTTAACCACTCTCGAGAGATGTTTCGTAAATCTTAGGCCTCTGTCCAAATCGATGCCTAAATATTTAGCACAGTTCGTTGGTCTCAGCTCATTGCTACCTAGTTGAAAGATCAGATCTGGTCCATTTCTTGGAGCCTTCAGAATGACCACCTCGGTCTTGCTGCCTGCGAGTTCTAGGTCATTATTTTTCATCCACCTATTTACCTTGTTAAAACAATCGTTTATCGTATCTACGATTTCCCAATACATGTCACTAATGGTTAAGATAGCTAAATCGTCGGCGTAGGCTATTGCTATGCTATCTTTGCCATAGTCGATGTCCAGTACCCCATTATAAAGTACATTCCATAGTGTTGGGCCTAGTACGGATCCTTGCGGTACGCCAGCTGTTAATCGAATCTCTGCGTTTCTAGCCACTGAAACATATCTGTCGGTTAAGTATCTTTTTAAAATGTTTATTAAATATCCCGACACATCTGCAGTTTCCAATTTTCGTATGATGTGTGCCCAGTTGGCGGAACTAAAGGCGTTCTTCACATCAAACATTATCAAAGCAGCCCATCTTCTTCTTGTGGTCTTAACGGTGTCCGTAATATGCTTAACCGCATCTACCGCCGATTTTGCTTTTCTAAATCCGTACTGTCTAGTTGAGATAATGTCCTTTTCTCTCAACTCCTCTTCAAGGCGATTTTTGATGATATTCTCATAGAGTTTCCCTAAACAGTCAAGGAGGCATATTGCCCGATAAGAACTGGCTTCGTCCGGATCTTTACCGGGTTTAAGTATTAGTTTGAGTCGCGCACGCTTGAGTTCGTCAGGGAATTCTTGTGTTGTAAGCAGCTGATTGAAGATTTCTATAACCGCTTCTGGTTGTAACGTGGTTAATAGTTTTATCGCTTCTGGTGGCACACGGTCTAATCCAGGAGATTTACCCACTTTGATGGACTCTGCGGCTCTCGTGAGTTCTGCTAAACTGACGCGATTCGAACAGGTATGTTCATTTTGTACGAAATATGTGTTCTGCTTTGAGGGAAAAAGGGTATTCGCAATTTTCTTTATTTTATCATCACACAGTTTGTACGGGGTCTCTGACCTCAGCGTTTTGGTGACTATTCTATATGCTTCACCCCATACATCGTTCTCCAGCGCCTCGCACAGGTTTTTCCAACATGTGCGCTTGGCCCTTTTAATCGTCTTTTTTAACTCATTTTTGGCGCTTTTATACTCGTCCTTTATCTGCTGGGTCCTATTCCTCTGCGCGATTCGCCGTCTAAGGCATTCTGTCCGTTTTTGCTGTATTTCGTCATTCCACAAGTACGGTACAGTATATGTGACATATTTGTTATTACTGCTCGAGTTGTGTGCTCGTATTATTGCATTTCTAAAGGTGGGAAAGTCGGTAGCTTCTTCGTGTAAGTTTCTAGTCTGTTCAACAAATCTTACTTTATTGAAAGCGAGTGTTCTTCTGCCGTTCCTAGTTGTGACCTTTGTTCCTATCTCGAATGAGATGTACTTATGAAAAGTAAACATGTTCTCGTCTAGTACATCCCAATGTATAATTTTGTTTGCATAATTATTTGACGCTAGGGTAATATCTATGTGACTCCGTGATTCTCCTCTTTCGAAGGTGTGTTTACCGTTGTTTAACACTACCAAGTCGAACGATATAATCCATTCGTTCCATAATTCTCCCCTATTGTCATTTCTTGGGGACCCCCATAGAATGGATTTGGCGTTTATATCACCAGCGATTATGAAGTATTTTTCTACAAGTGACGCCTCAATAATACTATCTACCTTATCTTGGTATTGTGTAGTGTTAATGTTTGGAGAAATGTAACAGGCTATTATTGCCACATCATTCAGATTAATCTTGATAAATCCTTCCTTTTTAGTGACCTTTTTTATTCGCACACTCTTATTCACCAAGTAGACGGCAACATCTGACCGTGTGTCGGCAACCCAACCAAATTTTTTAACGATGTTTTTATTTGGTTCAGGGACTATAATGATATCTGCTTTTATCTCCAAGGCTTTCTTATGTATCAAGTCGTGTGCCACCTTGGCCCGTCCGATGTTTACTTGCAGTATCTTTAATTTTTTTAACCCGTTCGAAGCCATTTTTAGAGTCTATGCCACTAGCCAGTAAGTTCACATGGTGAGGGGGTCTCTCTATCCGCACAAATCTATGACGCTGCCCTGAGGGGATATTGTCTGAGGAGTGGAAGCAGTTGGGTCCCCGTCCGAAGAAGGAGGGGACGGAGTAGGCGAACGAATTGGGGGTTTGACCCGTGCGATATCTCCCGCGGCACTGTCGCAAAGAGAGCTAAACTGCTCCATAAGTGTAGAGTGGACAGCCCCATTGAATACCTCCTCATCCACTCTCCTCAACTCCTCTGAGGAGGGAGATGGGTCCGTAGGCATCTCGGTCAAGTTTACCTCATTGATGTCGGGTACCTCTTGGGCAATTTCCATGCTGGTGACCTCTGTTGTTGGGGGAGGCTGATGCGCCTGTGGGGGAGGGGCCTCGATGTTTTTATTTTGCTCCGCCATCCTTGCTCTCTGTAGAGCCTCACGGAAGGCCGCGCACTTGCCGCTACCTATCCGATGCTGCTCATTGCATACAACGCAGTGCTCATCTTCCTTACATGTATTAAAAGTATGGCCTTCTTTTCCGCACCTATGGCAGAGCCCGGTACGATCCGGGCCATCACATCTCGCAACGTCATGCTGGTAGCTCCAACAGCGCTGGCATTTCCTAACGACATATCTTCGCTCCACTTCACACCGTGCAAGGCCAACCTTCAGGTGTCCTAGGTCTAGTATCTGCCTTGCCGCTAGCGCGGTAAGGATGAACGTGGCTGCCTTGGTGTTGTTTCGCATAGGGCGGATCTGTTTTATAGCGAAGTTTGTTTTCCATTTGCCGATTTCTCTTTGAATAGCAAGCTTAATGTGCTCCTCCTCCGTGTTTGCCGTCATGCCTCTTAAATGAATAATGGCCTGCTTTTCAGTTCCAACGAGTTTAGCTGTCAGTCCACTCTCCTTATTCGCTATCGCGTTTTTGATCATTGAGGCGGCCCCCTGGTCCTTATCTATTGTTATTAACAGATTTCCGTCTCTCGTGCTACGTAGGCTTCGGATTGCTTCTTTAGCTTGCGTGTCTCCTACTGCTTTTTCCACCCCCTCAAGAAGTTGTGAGTAGGTTGAGTCTTTTTTGGATACAATGAATCCATATGTAGGCTTCTCTCGCCGCGTGGCCGTGGTGAAGATCTGTACCGTCGTACCTTTAGTGTTAGTAAAGATCACTTCAGCCATCTTGCGTAGTTCAACCACCTGCATGTAACTAACGTGGTGCAGAGCCACCGAGTCCTCCTGTTTTATCTCGTCTCTGACACGCTCGAGAGCGTGCCAGAGTTGCTCGGGTGTGCTGGACGACAGCTGGATGACTTTCTCTACTTTAGTCCTTCTCTCCCCTCCCCTTTTTACAGTAGTAGAATTTTCCAGCACCTCGAAGTCTCCTTCAAGGGTTGGTAAGTCTGGATACCTGTCTCGATAAAGTCTCTGTACGGAGAACATCATTTTGGGGTCATTTGGTTCCAGGACTACGACCTTTACATTACATTTAGAGTCCAGCGGATTCAGAACTTCGATCGTCGTTTTTTTGAAGACCTTCTCGGGCCAGTCGTAGAAAGAGTGCCTCTGGAAGTCAGCAAAATTGTTAACTCCCTCGAGACTCGTCACCCTGACTGCCCTGGGGGTGCCATGCCACGCGTCCGTCTGGGTGCCACATTCCGTAGTCGCGGGTTTCTGAGCTACTGAACTGGCATCAGCGTCCACCTGCGTGTCCGTGTCTACCATCATTTTTTCTATAGGTTCAGTCGAATTTATCTGTAACCACTTCTTGAAATGCTCCATTTTTTGGAGGGCATGCCTCTTGATCAGGTTCCTATAGAGTTCCTTAATAGGCCTCGGCGTATTTGGGAACTCCTGTATTAGTCCTGTAAATCTGCTAAATTGTTTTCCCAGATCTTCTAAGTAATCTAATAGCTCCACAGCCTCACTGCATGTCTTCTTTTTGTAGGTTTCTTTCTCTAACTTGTCGTAAGATGCTTTTCTTTTTAATATATTTTCGTCAGGAAGATAATTAATTCTCCTCCTGGCGTAGTCTGTATGCCTTCCCGATTTGCCGCTCGGGTCGCCCGCGGTTTTTGTAAAAAAATTCGGTATCATTTGGATCCCACGAGTAGCTAGGGAATGGGTTTTTCCGCCACCACAGAGCCCCGCATGTGATGGTAAGGCTGCTTACAAAGGGGTTCGCCAGGTGCCCCGAGGGAACCGTTCATGGCCACGTATCGTGTGGTCATCCATCCTTCAGCACGGTATCTAACACCTTAGATTTCGGATTTTTTCCCGCTGGTTTACTCCGTCGGATTTTTGGCCAGGTTTTCTCCTGTGGAATGTGGGGGAAAAGGAGTAACACATTTGGATCTGGGGAGAAAGGGGTCGCAACTGGGAGTCATTGCAGCGCCTTTTAGCGTCCGGAGGCGAAGTCCGGCGACCACCCGGTGCAACGGCTCCGGACGCTGGACTGTTCTTGGTTTCACTGGCCGTGCTCCCCTTACAATATAAGGGACCAAGGCCAGTTACTCGGCCCTCCCACCAATCGTCGAGGTAAAAAATACAGTCCGGGAGGGAACTTGTTGCAATTAATAATGCAAGGAAGAATACAGGGTAGAAGGAGTCGCGGAAGAAGACGCATCTCCTGGTTGAATAATTTGAGAGCTTGGTTCAACTGCACTTCTACTGACCTATTTAGAGCAGCGGCGTCGAAAGTGTGGATTGATATGATGGTTGCGAACCAAGAAGAAGAAATGTGAGTTTATAGACGAATGCTGAAGATACCTTGGACAGCAAGGAAAACTAATGAAGAAATACTAAGCAGCGTCAACAAAGATAGAGAACTGCAAAGACTGTTAAACATTGAAAATATAGTAAGGGTAAGTTGATATAAAATATTACAACTAATTCTTAAAGTCAAAATAGAGGGCCGTAGAGGTGTAGGAAGTAAACGGGTTTTTTGGTTGAGAAACATTCGTGAGTGGACTCTGATATCAAATGCAGGACAATTATTCCATATTGCAGAGGATCGAGAAGTTCGCAATGGTGATCGCCAACGTCGGATAATTCTGATATGGCACGCGAAGAAGAAGATCAGCTCTATCAGCCAAATTGAAATTGCAAATAACACTTCGATATTAAGCTAATGGATAGAGACTTTTTCAACAGTTTAGAATATTTATTAAGAGTCCCCAAGTCATCATAATTTAATTGGAGTTGTCTTGATTTTACGTAAACTTTAAGAAAATCATACATTATTTGGAACCATCCAACTTTGGGAGTATGAACTTCATTAGAAGAACACCTAAACTTTATGGTAAGTCTTTTTTTTAGTTCTTGTATATAGAAACTACACATACTTTAAAATTTCATTATAACAACAATAATCTTCTCTAAATCAGAATTATTTTGATTCCTGAAAACAAATTACTCGTCGTATTTCACGAATCCAATAGTTTACACGGAGTGCATCTGACGAAAACGTGGCTTGCGTTAGTGATTGACTACCCATATCAAATCGGCTATGTTGAAAATGTGGAAGTGACCATAATTCTAAGTAAGTATTTCACGTAAATTTGCTTTGATAATAAATAAGAATAACTCCGAGTTACTTACCCTCTCATGATACTATGGAGTTGTTCCATTTATAATCTTAGGTTGAATTGTTATTTTTCTGCTACTATCAGAAATGAGTAAATAAGAGTAGCTTATAATTGTATAATATTATTTTAATTATCATCTTTATAATGATATTATTTTAATTATATGCCTAACTTATGATAAAGCTTATCTTGAATATTTTTGATAGGCGAGGAAGTAGAATATCCATACCATGCTGTAGCAGTGCTATTCTTAAATAAATATAACAGTCTTCCCAAAATACTTGTACAGTTTAAAACTATTGATAGTTTGAAGTGCTCTAATTGTTCTACTACTGGTCATTTCTACAATTCAGAAACTATACAAGGACCCAAATATTTTTCTTTACCATGGGGATCAACTACGTATTAAGTTTTTAAGTAGTAAAATTTTAACAGACGGAGTAACGGAGTAAATATCCCCAATAAAAATATTCTTTAAGATTAAAATCGGGTGAATGTGGAGGTCATTCAATACTAGGTATCTTATTTAATGTTTGATCTAAATAACGCAGAACATTTACACTAAAACGAGCTAGAACTTTGTCTTGCTGAAACAATATCTCATTAAAATTAGCTCCAGACTTGTTTTTCAGGGCACGTACAATTTTATTTCTAAGTAACCTTCCATAATTATTGCTTGTTAAATTTCATTCTATAAAAAATGGCATAAGTCCCTGGGTAGCTACTATATCCAACAAAACATTTAGTTTTTGTAGTCTTTGAGCATGATTTTCACGTATCCAGTGTGAATTTATCTCATTCCAGTACCTTAAATTTTGGCGAATTACATTCCCACACATCGTTAATATTGCATCGTCGGAAAAACATATCTTGTTAACGAAGTTCTCATCAGTTACAATTTTATTTATCAATACATCACTAAACTGTAATGTCCGGTCGATTAGTCATACTCATAGTACTAATAAATACTCCGTTTAACCAAAATTTATTTTTAGACCCCATTCGAGATATTCTTCATTAAGTTGAGGGAGTATGTCGTTGTTTACTTTAATAACCATTTTGCCACATTTGTTTTTCCATCTCTTACAACTTCATTTATGCATATTTTTAATAGGGTTGGAACAATACACCATCCTTGTCTTAATCGTTTTAACTCCTGAAATTTCCGGGAGAATTATGTACCGATTTTAACACAGCTTGTATTATTACTGTATAAATCTTTTAAGTTTTTCTATAAATGTGAGTCTTGTCTTTTATTTCAGTCTAGAGCCGAGACAGTGGTGTGCTGTCAAACGTTTTTTTTTTCAAATCCATAAAAACTAAATGCGTTTTTAGATTATGCGCCACCCTTTTTGTCCGTATTTTAAGATATTATTTACGCAGGATTTTCCAGCTCTAAAACCACTTTGGTCTTTAATTTCTACAAACTGGCCTTTAATTAGGTTTTCAAGATTTTTTCATATAGTCTCCCGATTCTGGTGAAAGGGTTTCAATAGAGGGGCCCAATTTCGTGACGGTTAGAACACCTCCTGCTGTAATCCTTCTTGAAGATATTAGTAACCCAGCCTTTTCTAAGTCTTCAGAAAGACGCTCTGCCAGGATAAGAGTACAGTGGATTCGGTGACTGATGTGCAATGGGAGGCACGGGGAATTAGGGCTGATCTTTGACTGGTCATCCAGGGTATCTAAGAAATGTGGTCGCTGATTATCTTTGCAAGAGGAAGATTGTGGTGGAGAATGGTGTGATTGTGAATGTAACGGCTGGGGTCGCACTGGGCTCCAATCTGTAGCTGACGCTGTGGAACCTGGCATATGACGGGGTCCTAAACTGCGAATGTGGAGAGGGTGCTACCCACATTCTCGGACGACGTTGCTATGCTGGTGGCGGCACAGGACAGGAAGGAACTCTTGCTTTGGATTACGCGTGCATGTGTCTCCGTTGGAGATTTGAGAAGCGAGCATGATCTTTCTCTCGCGGAGCATTAGACGGGGGATATAGTAGTCAGTGGCTACAAAAAGAGAAACAGTGTTGTAGTTAAGTGCGCGGAAGCGAGAGTGACGCCCAAAAAGTACGTCAAGTATCTGGGAGTTAATCTCCACCAGGGTGGAAGTTGGGAGGAACTTTTGAGGGGGGTGACCCGCAGAGCTAGTTAGAGAAGTGCGCTTCATAGTAATGTGCAGTTTGTCGTCCTCTACGCGGCCCCAGTCTGAAGTGAGGCGGTAGAAATAGCAACTTACAAAAAGTTCGCAGTATGCATCAACAGAACTAGTCTGCTGCGGGTAGCATGTGCCTACAGGAATGTGTCAGCTGCCGGTCTGCCAGCTGTGTTCCTTCACATGTGCTGGCAGGTAAAAGGGCCAGGATTCATAGTCCTATGAGGCAGATCATTGGAGAGCAAGAGATGACTGACAGATAAGACCGGCCGATAGATTAGTTTCAATCGGTCAGTGTCAGCAAGAGTGGGAGACAACACGAGATGAATTCACTAATCCCGAACTTTCGAAGCTAGGTGGACATGGGCAAAGGCAGCTGGATTATTATCTGACGCAAATGCTCACAGGCCATGGCTGCTTCCGCAGCTTCCTTTACAGGTTTAGGAGGACTTAGTCCGATCAGTGCATTTAATGTGGTCTCTCGGATACTTTAACACACATAAGTTCGAATTAAAACCACTCTACAATGACGCCGATATTGTCCAAGAAATTAACTAAGATGAGCAGGCCACGTGCACAGACTGCATAACGATAGACTTGCAAAACTGGTATAAAAGGAGATTCCCACAGGCAAAAGACCACTCGGACGTCCCAGAATGCGATGGAGAGATAACACATAAGCAGATATCTGGAAAATGAACATTACATTTGACCCTAAGTTGATGGAAGACCGAAAAAATTGGAAAAAAGTTGTACAGTCAGCCAAGACCCGTCCAGGGTTGTAGCGCTACGTGATGATGATGATGACGTTGGGATGTGAGCGTTGGGCGGATGAAAGAGAGGAATTTGAATAAGCGTGTAACTGCAGAATATTTGATTCCTTAAGAGAAATGGTGAAGAACATAATAAGAAATAAGTGGTGGTAGACACGAATCCACAAATTACTCTTCTTTTGAAGAGAGCAGCTCCACACAGGAGATGCTCGCTTCAAGAGAAGAAGAGGCAAGGAAACTCGCAACATAATTTTAAAACAAGCAAGTAGCACATAGGTCGAAGCAGGCCCAAAAAGGACCCAATGAGAGAAAGACGACGCCAGAGAGTTGCCAGCCTCGCTAAGATAGGGGGTTGAAAGTCTCTGGTGGTTCGTGTGGGCGTGGTTTTTTCGATGAATGTGTGAAAAAACTTAATGAGAATAAGGAGATAACAGGGTATCGGGAAAAATGTTTTGTCTTAACCAGCCCTTCCATTCTGAGGTCTGGAGTGACTGATGAAAGGTTTTTAGTTGAATGACG